TGTGTGCCTCTCTCTGTGTGTCTCTGTGTGTGTTTAGCGTACTCTTCAAAAGTTTGTATGCTTGCCTACCTTTTATGTGCGTCAATAAAATTAACAATGAGCTGCTGTAGTAGTGCAGCTGTTTTCATTCAGTTTAGCAGGAAAACTAATCCATCGAATGAGGCGCGAATTGATTCGAAGTATAAAAAAGTGATTTAGGTTTATAGTAATGTTGCACCATTTAACTAACACTGCAATATGTTGTTGTTTCTCCATCGGCAACGTGTTTTCGGATTATAACACTTTACAATTATACTCTATTATTAATATTGTTTTTTTTTATTATAACAATGTTTTTTATTGTCGTTTTAATCACAATTTAGACTTTTTATTATCTCTAATCTTCGCTATTATCAAATAATTTGAAGCAAGTATTTTAACTGATTTTTTCAATATTCATATTAAAACTCGTATGTCGTTATAACTATAATAATAATGATGATGACGATGACGATAATGATGATGGCAATGATGACGACGATAATGATGATGACGTTAATGATGATGGCGACGATAACGATGATATTGACTTGCGCAACATAATGAAGGAATGAGTTGACGATGCCATCCTGGCGTTCATCCAGGCAGTTCAATCTACTAAGTTGTTTGCCATTGATGAATCAGCAGACTACGTACATTTAAAATCACATTTACTCAATGCATCCATCCATCCACCTACCTTGCAAGTAGATAGGTAGGTAGGTCGGTAGGTCGGTAGGTAGGTAGGTAGGTAGGTAGGTAGATAGGTAGGTAGGTAGGTAGGTAGGTAGGTAGGTAGGTAGGTAGGTAGGTAGGTAGGTAGGTAGGTAGGTAGGTAGGTAGGTAGGTAGGTAGGTAGGTAGGTAGGTAGGTAGGTAGGTAGGTAGGTAGGTAGGTAGGTAGGTAGGTAGGTAGGTAGGTAGGTAGGTAGGTAGGCAGGCAGGTAGGTAGGTAGGTTGGAAATATTTGAATAAAATATTCATTATAAATATTCAAATAAACAAGTTTATGTAAATTAAATATTTAAAAAAACATTATATAAACTTGTTTATTTAAGAGAGCTTTTCTAAAAAAATCTACACAAATTGAATCTAAAGATTTTTATGACAAAACTAAATTAAATGTACATACGACATACAAAACGAAGCACTCACAACCAGGTTACACATAGACGGTTATACATATAATATTAGTAGATGATGTAGTGAGTAAATGATTTGGCGTGTACACCGTACAGCATATTGTACAGCGCCCACTCTTGTACACTCACGTACGCAAGAAGACCGCACAGAAAGTGTTAACGCATCAATTGCCGATTGGTCAATAGTTGAAGGACTTTGAGTCTATACGTTCGTACGTATATGTGCACCTTTGTTTGTATGCTCTTCAGTACACTCTCGTGAAACATATGCTTTATATGTGTACACACATTTATATATATACACCAACATAGAACAAAAATCATATATATATATAAACTTTTTTTGGTTTTTCTATACCATTTTCTCTGTTCGAATTGATACGTTGTGTATGTGGCCAGATGATCAAGTATATATATATATATATATATATATATATATATATATATATATAAATGTTTATATATATATATATATATGTTGGTAATAGACCATAATTTCTACAATATTCTATAAATTCTACCGAACATTCGGTAGAATTTATAGAATATTGTAAAAATATATATATATATATATATATATATATACACTGTGTCTCTACAATGTTAATTCTTCGTTTGTTTTATGTAATTAATTAACGGTCATTTAATTAGTTATTACGGTCCTACATATATTTATTTATCCATGCAGATGATTATGCATATAATAAAAGAATATGACGTAGTAATTATCAGCGTTATCAATTAAACTACTTGCAAGACCGGCTGTTGTGGGTGAGGTTTAACTAACAGTCTCGAACTTTATAATGATGAAACGATTATTCGGAACACTTCCATTGCAGTTGTATGATAATCTAAATTATTTATCATCCAACAACAACAACTATCTCCAATCCAACTTTCAAGAAAACATTCTGTTTCTATTAAGTGTGGCAATTCAGTTCATCTAATCTTAATATATAAAAACTTTGGGATCGTCGGATTTATTCAGTGCACAGTTGAACATTGCTCAGACATGATCATGAATATTTAAACAAAAATTACATTTTCGATTTATTTTAATAATCATTTATCCAATGTATATATGTATGTATGTATGTATGTATGTATGTATGTATGTATGTATGTATGTATGTATGTATGTATGTATGTATGTATGTATGTATGTATGTATGTATGTA